TTGATGACAGTCAATAATGTAACCTTCCGCTCTTGCAAGAAACATTAGTCTTGCTGTTTAGTGGTACTCTTCTTGAGAGTACAAGAATATGGATCTACATGAACACATTTCTCTGGGACACCATACGTTTTTGGTCAGGGTATCAGCAGATGGAATATCAATATTCTATAGAAATTCTGTGTGCTCACGATATATCCAGGACACTTCAACCTTGAATATATAAACAAACCCAGTTCCTCTTCATTAAGTAATATGAGATAATAAACAAAATGCTGGGGGTGAGCTAGAAGAAGGAAGTATTTCTTTCCCAACAGAACATAATAATTGTTCTTTTTAGATTAAAAAAATGCAGAATTAATCCTGGCTGACCACTGTGGAGTATGGGATAGTGACTCACTTGAGCTCATGGGGCTGTGTGTGGGCGCACACAGCACCATTTCTCCAGTATGATCTACTGCCTACTGATTGACCTCAAAAGACTTCCTGATGCAGCTCTATTCAGCTCCCAGAGGCAAATGGGAAGTAATTCCATAGTGTCTCACTTCTACACAGGACTAAAGCCTATGGACTGTGTTATCAATAACCATTACTATTTTGTATATTTCAGAAAGGTTTAGTGCATAATCGCGAAATCTGACTGCCATGGTCATTCTACAGTGTCCAATACAGACAGGAGGAGTTGCTGCTACTTCAGATGCCTATTTATTTCTAGTACTTCATCAGTTCCAGAGTTTTCAGCTGTTGCTGCCTTTGTATTCATGAATAAAATTGTAGTATTTATGTTAATCTTTTATTATCCTTGAAATTGTTGCATTCCCACCACTGAAGATACCTTTTTGGCTCCTCCCCAATTCCTTGTCACTGAGTTCTTTTACCAGTTGAAAAAGAAGCATTTGTGTGGGCAAGTTGTAGAGCCTTATTTGGCTCTGCTCTAACAGATTAAGTCTTGAAGGACTGTTTTATTCCATCAGGCTGGTACATTTATGATGCTCTGAAAATCTCAAATCTCTGAGCCTCTGTTGGTCTTAGTGTTCAGTTCTATGGTCTTTTTCATTCAATCATGAAAAAACAATCTGCTTGAATGAACCACTGACTAATGATTCATGGTTCAGGTAGGTGACAAAGTGATAAGACAAGACGTAACTCAAATCTTACCTTTATATGCAATTATTGTACACTAACATGTTCAAATTATAAAAATTAACATAACTTAAATCAAATGAACCACCAAGTAAAATTATTGGTCAATATTATTTAATAATTATTAATTAAATAATTTTAAATTATCAAAAGATGCTTAAAATATAGCTTATATTAGCTCCTTTTATTTGAGTTAAATTTAAAAGATGCTTATTACCAAATAGATTTCTGCACATTGTTGTGGCCATATTGCATGTATTTAGAAAATGAAATTTTCCAAAAGCAAATGAAGATAGATTCTTCAAGAAATACAAACTTGAAATTAATATTTCCCATATAACCAATATAAATCAATATTTTCTAATTAATCAAGAAATAAAATACAAGTAAAGAAAATCATGTTATGCTGGAGATGGAAATTACTAGTGATTTCTGTCTTTATTTTGATTCCCCAAACCATTAAACCATATAAAATGTCTCAAAATGGAATTTTGAACATGTTTGTGTCTAGAAAAGTCATCATCTTCCACAGTGAATTGGAACAACATGTCTTGTTGACATTTTGCACATCAATCATACTCTTTTATCTTGAAAACTGTTCGGTATAATAACAAGTTGTTAAATGATGACTGGTCCAGGGTAATTGTTGCTTATATCCACTGGGTCAACCAACATTAAGAATGTTATCCATGTCCATGAACCATCACTATGATGTTTCCAAAATAGGACAAATTCATAGAATTGTGGAGTCAGAAGCAAGCCAACTTCATGCCTCTCTAACAAGAAATAAAGATCAGTTCCCTGGCTTAAAATTAGGCTGTACTGATTTGAAATTCAGATCAATTACCCTAACAACACAGGCTTTTACTTTTCTATGAAATAAGGACCAACAGGCCTCTGACTAGCTTTGCTAACCTGGGTTCGATCCCCAGTATTCCATAAGGTCCCCTGACCACCATTCTGGGTATGGCCCCCCAAAGAAAAAGATTATTTATTTTGGGGACTGGAGAGAGAGTAGAGGGTAGGGTTCTTGCATGTGGCTGATGTAGGTTGCATTGCCAGCACCCCATATGGTTCCCTGAGCAGCACCAGGAGTGAGCCCTGAGCGTAGGGCCAGAAGTAAGCCCTGAGTACTTCTCAGGTGTGGCCCCAAAATAAAAACCAGAAAAGTCGTGTATCTAAATTCAGCGGTCTTGGTTTGGTAATGATAATAAATGCTACCAAAAGCTCATTTCCATGACTCAGAAAGAAAGGGATAGACATAGAAAGATTGCATTCATCTAGGGAACATAAAGTAACAAAATAGGAGACTAACACCCAAGAATGGCCGAGATTAGAACCAGGAATTTTACTCCATGACTTGGAGGCCAGCCACACATGCTAGGGGAAAAGGGAGCTCAGATAGAGAGGGGAGCACCAAATAAAGGGTGTTGGGAGGATCCTCCCAGGATGGGAGAGGCATGCTGAAAGTAGACTATAGACCAAACATGATTGTCACCCATTGCCTCTTTTGCAAACCACAACACCCAAAAGGAGAGAGAGAACAAAAGGGAATGCCCTGCCACAGAGGCAGGGTGGAATGGGAGGATGAGGGGTGGGAGGGATACTAGGATCCGTGATGGTGGGAAATGGGCACTGGTGGAGGGATGGGTATTTGATCATTGTATAATTGAAACCCAAGCACAAAAACTTGTAAGTCTACAACTGTACCTCATGATGTCTCACTAATAAAAATTTTAAAAAATAAAAATAAATTTTAAAAAAAGTTCATTTCCATTCTCCAGGCTTTCTCAGAAGAAAGTTCTGCAACTTTCTCAGAAGAAAGTTCTCTGGCATATCAGAGCGTCTCATCTTATCTTGGCAGCACAAGCGGAACTGAGTATGACAGTCAGCCATGAATTTGTTACATTCTGTGAGAATTAATTACCGGTGTGCACAGCCACAGCCCCACTTCAGGTCAGGATGCAGATGTGTTGCTGCTTTTGTCACTCTGTCTCTCTCCAACTTCCCAGGATTCAACCTGTGCTCATAGAATTTGCTGTGTTTGATTCATACTCCTTTGTTCTTTTATGTAACTGTGCTTAGACTGCAAGATACTATTTTGTTCTTTTAACTCAAAATGGCAAGCTTCCTCTTTCTCAGTACCATCAAGAAATCTTTTTGGTAGAACTAACTGGTAAATACTTTAGTAAGTCGATGTAACTGTGACAGGTAAGGTTGCCACAATGCATGGGGTGTCTCAAGAATGGTTTTCGTTTGTGGACTGGAGGGATAGTACAGCGGGTAGGGTGTTTGCCTTGCACACAGCTGACCTGGGTTCGATCCCTGGCATCCCACCTAGTCCCCCAAGTTCCGCCAGGAGTAATTCCTGAGTGCATAGCCAGGAGTTACCCCTGAGTATCACTGGGTGTGACCCCAAAAAACAAAAAAAATAATAATTATAATAAAAGAATTTTTTGGTTTGTGTTCTGTCTATAGGAAAGGACACTCTGCCATCAATGTCAACAGATGATTTTACTCTAATACCCATGGGAGGGGTGTGATTCATCTGTAAGTTGTGGGGGAGGAAGGGATGAAACAGTATAACAAGTAGATGATAGCATTAGCTTGGAATTCAGACCCCTTTACGAAATGTGACAGATAAGGAAATCAATCGAAGACTCATCTCAAGAATAGAGTTTTACTGGGTGTTGTCAGATAACAACAGGGCTGGAGTGACAGCACCGCAGTAGGGTGTTTGCCTTGTGCGCAGCCAACCGGGCCAAGCCGGGTTCGATCCCTCTGTCCCTCTCGGAGAGCCCAACAAGCTACCAAGAGTATCTCATCCGCACGGCAAAGCCTGGCAAGCTACCCATAACGTATTCAATATGCCAAACACAGTAACAAGTCTCACATTGGAGACGTTACTGGGCCCGCTCAAGCAAATGGATGAACAACGGGAGGACTGTGACTGTGTCAGATAACAGATAAGAGAAACAGTAGTATCTGGTATGTGATGCATGATTTTAAAATGTGTCTGGTGTTCAGCACATAACACTAATAAGTATTAGTTGGACACATGAATTAATGTAATGATTAAACAAATGAGTAAATAAATAGATAATCAGCCAGATAAAAAGTGCCTGTTCTATGTTCCTAATATAGATTCCTCTCCTCTCAATAGAAACCTCTGCTTAAGAAATGGAATAACCTGAGTCCAGACAGATAGTACAGCAAGTAAGGTGCTTGCCTTGCACAACTGACCCAGATTCTCCTATGACCCTTGTCCTATGGCCCCTGAGTTCATAACCAGAAGTAAACCCTGAGCATCACCGGTATGACCCAAAAAAACAAACAAAGAAACAGAAACAATTTGGGCCAGAGAGTAGAAGAGTTAAGGCAGTTTTCTTGCATGCAGCTGACCCAGTTTAAATCCCACGTACTATACATATGGTCCCCAAAGGACCTGAGCACGAAGTCAGAAATGGCCTCTGAGCACCACTGGGTATGATACCACACACACACACACACACACACACACACACACACACACACAAGAAATGAAATAAACAGTGAATTTTTGGATTTGGTAATGTTGGATAAAAGGAGATTTATCCCCAGTATCTCAAAGAAGGATGATGGGAACCAGTTCCACAATCCCCCACCCCCCCCACCCCTGTGCTGAGAGAATTCTCATACACCCAGGCAGACATTATAGAATAAGACAGGCCCAGAGGTATGGCTTTACATACTAGAAAACTTTCATGCCAGAGGTAATGGTCTAAATGGAAGGTTCTGATACTTAATAAACCTTCAGGGAGTCCATGTGCCTTCTGTGGTTTAACATTTCCTAGTAATCTATTTGAGGGATTTTCACTCACCTCTTTTCTTCTAATTACTGTTCAGCTTTGGGGACATACTTCAGTTCACTCTTAATATTCTGGATCTCTGATAGATTGACCGCAGGTCCTGGAAGCTTCTTTGCTCCTGGCATTGGCTTCTTCTCCTCCTCTGAGGTGGGAGGAGCACCCTGAAGAAAAGGGAAAGAAAACAGAGAGATTCAGCTAATTTAAAAAACACAGTGCATGTCTCTGGGTCAGAGACATAATTCAGAAAAATATTTTTTAAATAATGTCAGACAACAGAACTGATGGTACCAATGGGGAAGAGAAGGGAATAGTGCCATGGACAGAGGCAGAGGTACGTTGGCACTTTGGTGGTGGGTGTTTTGTGGCAATGATGTACTGCTAAAACATCTTGTAAACTAATATTACCTTTAATAAATTATAATTCATTTCAAGGGACTGGAGAGATACCACAAGTGGCTTAAGACACTTACTTGCCTTGCATGCAGCCAACCCTGGTTTAATCCCTGGCACCTCATGCTTGGGGGCCAGCACCATCAAGAGTTATCACCAAGCATAGAGCTGGCAGTAGTGCCCAGGACTACCAAGTGTGGACCCTGAAATCACCCACAAGTTTTTCCCCTAAATTTTATTTTATTTTTATAAAATTGCTCACAATAATTCATTACATTTATCATTCAGACACAAGTTTTTAAAAGAAAGAATAGTACCATCAACTAGCACCACCCAGTCCAGTTAGTGACTTTAGTAACAAACATTGTGAGATGTGACAATCATCGCAAATAAATTTTTATTGATCTAAGCTTTGATAATTTCATTTACTTTTATGTTATAACAAACAATATGAAGTACATTTGTTTGTGTCTGCTAAAGAAGCAGGCTGGGGCAGTGGATGAGAAACTGGGGACACTGACAAAGGGTAGGGCACCCTGGTGGTGGGAATGCTGTTGGAACATTTATTGCCTGAAACAACTGCATTATAAAAAACTTGGTAAATCATGATGTTATAATTTTAAAAAGCTTTAAAGAATAATGTCATAATGTAATTTTATGTGCTGTTAGGACATCTTCAGAGTTTCAAAATTTCCCTGAATTTTAAAGAAAGTTGAATAAAGTTGGAAGAAGAAAATAAGAAATTTCCACAGGACTCAGAAAGTATTAGAGTGTTGTTAAATGTTTGATAATTAATTAAAAAGTACCAGGAGTTAGAATAATTTGTATTTCCAGCAATACAAAATAAATTATCCAGCATCTGCCTTTTCGGCATGTTTGAGTGGTGGTGGGAAAATTCAAAATAATGGTGGTGGGAAGGTGTAATGGTGGTGGGACTTGTGTCAAAATATTGACTGTAATCCATTATTGTGAACAACTTTATAGAAAAATTTTAAAAGGTGATAAAAAAAAGAATTTGTACTTCCAAGGGAAATACAAGATCTCATTTTATTTGATGTCAAATAATTATAATATACCCACATAGGAGAGACCTATATGTAGAGCTTTAGTGTACCCTGGTTCCAACAATGGCTTAGTCTGGGAGTTTCCACATTTTTGTTTTGTTTTGGATGCAGTGGCATTATTCCAAAATAATCTCTGGGAAGCATAAACAAACTGAAATAGACATAAACAAACCCTCTTGGATATGGATGAGCTGGTATGGTGCAAGAGAGGCCCAGTTTGCCATTCCTGCTTTAAGTAATTTGAATTTCCTGTTATTGAATGCTTTCTCGTTGAGGCAGCTGTAGGACAGAACATTCTATACAGGACATTCTATACTTTTTTTACAGTATTAGCACCATGAATACTGGCTTCACACACACCACACACACACACACACATTTGTTCACTGACTGATTAATCCCAAGAAGTAGCATCGTGACAAATCTGTGTGTCTCTGCATACAGCAAGGACACACATTAAAGTGACTGTAGAATAATAAGATCAGTTGCTGTGAGTGGCTCAGAAAACTCTTTACTACAGAAGAAAGTCTCTCATTAAGATTCTCCTATTAGGCCTCTGCAGCCCTACAAGAATGTATAGGAGGCGCATTTAACCACTGAAACAGCCAGGAAACGCCTCCCGGATCAGATTACAGCAGTTCTGGGAACTGTGTGGCCCAGCTGCTTAGCTCTGAGGCCAGCCCATTGTCATGCTGAGGTCATGCTTCCCACAGCTGCTCTCCACCAATAACTGCACTAGCAGGTCCTAAGGCAGGCAGAGCCTGGGAGCCTGAACACTGCAGTCAACAGGAGGAACTCCTGCAGGAATTTTCCCTCCACACGGCCTGAGCCTTAGGCTGCAACTGCCCAACCCCCTCTTCTCCCATATCACGGTCTGATGACCTGGCATTTTTCTTACCAGTGTTTTCCTGGAGACAGATCTTGCAGCTCTACTCTTCAGGCTCTGCTTTTTTAGAGGACCCAAACCTGCACTGTGCTGGTGTGAGACTGGCAGAGTTCCATCTGCCCATCCAACACCTCAGTGAGCCAAAACGGTTTCAGAACAAAGGAATCAGAAACTGGACATGAGCCTCGGGTGCTAGCCCTGTGTCCAGCTTCACTCGGCCACTCTGAAGCACTCTTAGAGGACCTTAAAATCGATGCTGTTGGGGCTGGGGCATTAGCATAGCAGGTAGGGCGTTTGCCTTGCACTCGGCCCCGGGTTCAATTCCCAGCATCCCATATGGTCCCCTGAACACCACCAAGGGTAATTCCTGAGTACAGAGTCAAGAGTGACTCCTGTGCATTGCCGGGTGTGACCCAAAAAGAAAAAAAAATGCTGTTTTGGCCCCATCTGGCTTCTTCATCTAGTTCTCAAATCAGTGAGGGTTTCCAGGGAAAGCAAAGACAGTGATCAAGCTTCCCCAACTCTCACCAAGAACTTGGGAGACCTGTCCTTTATAGAAATATTTTTAAATTGCTTACTTGAGGCAATGAGCAGAAATATAAAACCTTGAGATTCTGTTCTTCTACTAAGGTCCCATGGTTTTCCCTACAGTCATTTTCTTTGAGTCTGGCATAGTGCTGATGAGCTAGCTTTCTGGTCTCACCCATAAGAAATGATAAAGTAGCTCAATGTAGACTCCACGGGCTGTAAATATCTGGAAAATATTGTACAATTCACACAGCTAGAGGATGGGCTTCATCTCATTATGCATGCACATTCATCCGTATAAATGCACATTTAGAAGCAATCATTAAAACTGTTAAACTTCCACTTGGAGGAAAATGTTTCCTCACTTATAAATGTTCCCAGGTTGTTAGGTGGGTAGATCTCAATAAAGAAGCAAGAAGGAGAGAAATGCTTCCAGTTCCTTCTGTTAAGTTTCGGAGTCAGTCACATTCACTCTCTTTGTAATATCAAAATGTGCTGTATTGGCATATTAAATATATAAAGCCAGTGTACGAGGTTATATACAAAGGTTTCATACGTGAACAAGCACAGATAATGATTCTATGTAATATTAGGCACTTTCAAGTTATTAAAATCTCAAAGAACTGTATTTTTTGTTTATCAACAGACTTTCAGCTTTTGATTTAGTATGGTTCACATATAATGGAAAATTCTAAGTGGATTATGGAATAAATACATATTATATCTTTCAGGAAGACTGAGCCATGCATATGCTGAGCTGAGTCATCTTTCATCTTTTAAAAACATAATACAAATCATTTTATTTCTTCTATGAATTTATTATAAAGAATATAATGAAGACATGAACAGCAGGGTTCCTTCCAGATAACCACAATTTGGCCAATAAGGACATTCTTCTTAACTTTTGTAAGTAGCTACCTGAATTGGGAAAGGACATGGAAGGCATTCTTTGGTTTAGACAAAGAATTTAAGAGAAGCCTTATCAGCCTCAGTACTCTTCCCAGTTCCCAGTTTTACGAATGGTTGTTGTCAAGGGAACTGTTCCTTTTAGGGCGACAGAATATTTGTGGAATTTGGCAGAATGGTGAGTCATTTTCCAAATCTCTATCTAGCCCTTTTCTCCCTTTTGACTACCAGATGTTCTATTGAACTTTCCTCTACACTCTTCTCTATGGGGCAAAATAGTCTGATGTAATAGTTCACACTCAAACACTGAAGACTTAAGAGAGGAAACAGGGGGAAATGGAATTACAAAGAAATGGAGGTACAGGAAGAATTCCTCTGACTCCCACTTCCGCCTCCCCATACCTATTTCTTATAACATGCAAAGTAATTAGGCCCAGAAGTTCATCATGAAAAATGCTTCTCAGGCTGTGCCATGTCATTTATATCACTGATATTTCTCATTGTGACCCGCTGAAGAATGAAAGGGATCATATTTTGCAGACTCAGAAAAACCTGACCAAAGTTCCAGATGAGTTAACTGGGTGGCCAAGTTAGTGGCATCAGAATGTGAGATTGTGCGGTGTTAAAGTGTAGAGCTGCATCTTTTCAACTTTATGCTCAAATTTTTTATTTATCATAGGTTATCTCATAGTTGAAATTCCAGATTGACGGTGTCTCAAGTACACTTACTCACCCTTTCAGAAATTCTTTCTATTAGTAGGAGAAATCTGGAACCCCTAATTTAGGATCATGTCAGGAATACTTATTTTTGGGAAAATGAAGGATATATATCAGGCAGCCAACATTGTGTTGGGAAGGTAATGGTTGTTCTTCTGAGAAAAATACCAAATGTCACCTGCAAACATGTTTAAGGTTTTTTAATATATAAATAAAACACATTATTCTATGTCCTGTGACTTTATTTTAGTACGGCAGAGCCTGGCAAGCTACCCGTGATGTATTCCATATGCCAAACACAGTAACAAGTCTCACAATGTTACTGGACCCACTGGAGCAAATAGATGAACAACGGGAGGACAGTGACAGTGACAGTGATTAACTTCTTAGGTAGCTGTACTCAGTTAGCACTGAAATCACTGCCCTTCTCTTAACTTCATTCAAATTTGTTTCTGACACAGTAACTTCAAGAGTTGCACATATCACAGATAGCACAGAGGGTAGGGCAAGATACTCTCAGTAACTTGCTGGGCTCCCCAAGAGGGGCGGAGGAATCAAACTCGGGTCGGCCGTGTTGGCCGCATGCAAGGCAAACGCCCTACCCTCTGTGCTATCACTCCAGCCCAAGAAGTTAATATTGATACTATATGATGAGTCCCTGGCCCACATCCATTCATATATTCTATCTGAGAGGTGACCGTCACCTTGCTTCTGCCCACTGTTGCTCAGAAATTGGAGTTTTGTTCATTTATTATGTGGTGCCAGGGAGCAAATACAGGCCCTCACACATGCAAAAGAAGTGTTCTCCTGCTCAGTCTTATCATTGCTCCTGATTTGTTTCTTTTTATAGAGGCAACAGCCCACACCCAGCAGGGCTCAGAAAGTGTGCAGTGCTGGGGATCAACTCCAGGACCTTGCACATGTTCAGCATTTGGGCTCTACCACAGGAGCTATCCCCCCCAGCCCTGATTTTTTGGAGGGCCAAGACAGTACTGACTTCTGCCAAAACGTTTTCCTCACCTCCTCTGTTTCTGGAGTGCTTTCTTTTCTTCTTGGGGGTTGCCCAGCTCCTGGTCTAAAGGCCCCCATAGGTATATTGATATTTGCCTGAAAGAGAAAACAGGGAAGATTTAGTGCAAGAAATAGCAATGACATTCTGAGGCTGTAATCTTCATGAGGAGCGAAAACATCAGAAAGGTAAATCTTCAGAGCTTTTTATCTCGAGAAAATTGCCGTAACGAGAGCACAAAATATGCTAACGAAAATGCAACTTCCATTTATTACAGCTTTTGGGTACTCCTTCTGAGGTCGCCTCAGCAATTTCAAAAATCCCTTTTGGATGGAAGAATTCGAAGACAGTTTGTTCTGACTGTTGCCCTCCTGTGGCGCTTAATAGTTCTCCTCCCCTTTGCCACGAGGAAGGAACACATAATGATAGGGCGGAAGGAAGCAGCAGACTCAGAAGTCATCCCACACGTTCGCACCCCCTCAGGTTCTTTCAGATTTACTACGGGAGGGGGCAACCATGCTCCAGCGTTGCCTCCACAATTCAGTACTGTCTGCAGCTTTCTCCCAGTTTCTCAGTCCTCTCACCACGATGTGAGTCAGGGCAGAAGGACATGGGGCAGAGTCAAATTCTGGAGTGTTCCAATTCACAGAACCCTGTCCTTTATTAAAATGGCACAGCAGTGTTCGTTAGGAGTAAGCACAAGATAGAGAGCATCTATAAAACCAGAAACACGCCGTTTCCAACATAACATAACCGTGTTCCTGACACAGTCATTTGAACTTGGGGGAAGAAAGTGTGTATGTCTGAACTTTGTCTGCATTTCATCTGCTATCAAAAGGCAGGGATATTTCATGCAGACCAAGAAGGTTTGAAGTCGGTAGCATCACTCACATAAAATAAGCATTAATACCTTTTCTTTAAGTTAAAACTATTGTTTTTACTTAAAATAAAGCACTGCCCTATGAGTAACTGGATATGTGGGCTTGAAGAATTGAAATTGTTCTTTGAGGCGATGCATAATACCAATGCTAGTACAAAAGAAGCCAAATATTTTGTTACCTTTTAAACACAATTTGGAAGATTCGGGTACCACAGTAAATTAAATGATTGGGAATTACACAATAAAAGATCTGTTGCTAGGGGGAATGCTTGACTCAAGACACATGAAGTATTCGGTGTCTGTGTTGGGCAATGCGTGGGTCTGTGTTCTGCTCCCAAGAGCAAAGGCTGACTTTCTACATAAGACTTTTCCATCTACCTTCCCTGCTAGATAAACACTGATCCCACAGAGAGAAAACCGAACTCAAAGTTAGCAAGAGCAGTGCACAACCATCCCTGGGGCCAATAAGCTAGGAAGTAGCATATGTGCTAAGATGAAAGTATAGCAACATTTTAGAGATGAAACATTTTGGAGAACCGAAGGCTGAGTTTTCTCTGCTGTTCCTCTGCTTAATGGAAATATCAGGTGGCCTAGCGTGGGAGGAGGAGGGGGCATAGGGAGGAAAGTATGACTCATGTGGTAGCACGCTTCATTAACTCCAAGATTCACCTCTATTAATATCTCTGAAATCAGAAAGAGTCTTAGAACATATATCTGACCATTTTAACTGACATTTTAAAAACAGGTCATAAATAATGGTATGTCATAATTGACTGCATCTTATATTAAATGTCATTAGAATCCTGAAACATACACGAGACAATGCAAAGACCCACAGAAGATGAACTACATGAAAAAAAAAAAAACAATAACAATTTCCAAGGGCCAGAGCAACAATACGGCAGATAGGGCATTTGTCTTGCACACGGCCAATCTGGGTTAGACCCCCAGCTTCCCATATAGTCCCCCGAGTCCTCCAGGAGTGATCCCTGAGCGTGTCGAATCAGGAGTAAACCCTAAGCACAGTCATATGTGGCACCCCCAAAAGAAAACAATAACAATTTCCATTGCTACCATTTGAATGAAACAGAGAAATTTGCTATGAGGAGTATTTATGAGAAGGTTACTGTCACTGTCCTCCCGTTGTTCATTGATTTTCTTGAGCTGGCACCAGTAACGTCTCCATTGTGAGACTTGTTGTTACTGTGTTTGGCATATCGGATAATTCACGGGGAGTTTGCCAGGCTTTGCCATGCGGGCGTGATACTCTCGGTAGCTTGCCGGGCTCTCCAAGAGGGGCAGAGGAATGGAACCTGGGTTGGCCAGGTTGGCTACATGCAAGGCAAACGCCCTACCCACTGTGCTATCGCTCCAGAAGGTTAAGTAGTTAAAAGTCCACCTGGATTACCACTACTCTGACTAAGCATCTACAGAGGACACCTACCTAACATGTGTTCAAGTTAACACACTGGTTTAGAAAGACTTCATTGCTAAACTAATGCATTTATTTTTGTTTCAGGCCACTCCTGGCTCTATACTCAGTAATTACTCCTGACAGTGTTTAGGAGACCATATGGGATGCTGGCGATCGAACCTGGGATGCCACATGCAATGCAAGTGCTCTTCCTGCTGTACTATTTCTCCAACCCTGAAGCTAATCCGTTTCATCTAGTGTGCATGCTCTACAGTAGGCTGTGGTTTTCAGTGATGGTCAGCCAAGATAATATATTCACTAAATCAGTGTCTATGGAAACTGGAAACACCACTTTTCCTGCTCAGAGTTTACTTCTAGCGATGCATGTAGCCTCTCCAAAGAACACGGGCATCTTAGGGTAGTGAAAAGATCTCACTGCTAAGAGCTGCAACATGTTGTCTGTACTGGGGGAAAAGAAAACAACCTGATAACTCCTCTACCATTTGCCTGTTAAAATGCTTCAATGGTGTTCAAACCTCTTAGAGATGGAACAAATGGGAGATCATCCTCTAATAAAAACCACAAGGTTGGGGTATCCCCAAGGCAAAACCGCATAGGTCATAGAATATAAATGTGCAGTAAAAATGTACCCAGGAAGGAAAAGAATAGATTACAGTGCAAGCAAAAATGTGCCTAAGAAACAATGGTTTATGGTTTTCTAGATCTAGAGGGCAAATAGGCAAAAAATAGGAATGTTACTCTGTACTTTAGGGGTTTCTGCTGATTGGCTATGTGAAATATCCGAGTCTCTGCTCTTAATGTACCCATTAAATTTGGACATGGCTTGCTAACTGTTCTTAATGTCTCTGTCAATTTAAACAATAACTCATGTATTGGGAACCAGGGTGTGGGAGCGATATTGGATTGAATAAATAGCAAGCCTGGACACTTTTAAGCCTGACTATTACTGAGAGTGTGTTTAAATGGGTCTGCGTGTGGGGCCAGAGCAATAGTACAGCAGATAGGGTGCTTGCCTCCCACAGGCTGGCCCAGGTTCAATCCCTGAAATCCCATAACAGTTCCTCTGAGCTTCACCACGAGTGATCCCTGAGCACAGAGCCAGGAGTAAGCCAAGAATACCACTGAAGGGGGCTAGAACAATAGCACAGCAAGTGAGCCATTTGCCTTGCAAGCGGCCGACCCAGGTTCGATTCCCAGCATCCCATATTGTCCCCTGAGCACCACCAGGAGTGATTCCTGAGTGCAGAGCCAGGAGTAACCCCTGAGTATTGCCGGGTGTGACCCAAAAAGAAAAAAAAGAACACCACCAGATATGGCCCCCTATCCAAAAAACAAACAAGTCAATAAAAGAGTCTGCATGTGTAGCAGGAATGGGCTTGTGACTGACTTGCATACTAACCTGGCAATGTAAGGACGGCCCCGAAAGCCCCCCTGAGCCAAATCGCCACAAACTAAATTATCTACCCCAATCCCCAAGACTCAATCCAGGTTATTACAACACCAACCAACCCAACCCACAGCAAACTGGTGAAATTCACGCTCTTTGTCTTACCCGTGAAACACAGCAACACAACATACGGCAAGGAAAAGCCAGATTGGAAGACAAAGGAACAGATCTTTTCACTGTCAAACCCTCCCCCGAAGAGCTGTTTCCTTTGACCTGACCACTCTCAAGCTCTGTAAACCAGCTCTAAGATTGCAGGTTTACACTTGAAGACTCGCTTTTGAAATGGGGTGCACAAAATGGATTAATTCCAGAATAGGTGTCAAAGAAAATCCACGCTGAAAAATGAGCCATTAACTCACTGACTCGATGCTTTTTCATCTTTAAAGCATCACTCAAGAAACCAGGAACCTAAATGGGTTTTTGACAGCAAATATTGACAGGATCCAAAGCAGCCTCAGACCGTGTCAAATAGCTAATGACTAATGTACACCTTAAAGGACTGGCAGAGGCGTGCTTTGTAAACGATTAGAGACATTTCATTAATATAATTGCAGGGCGGCCTTACTTGAGTGACAAATTATAGGCTAAATTATAGCCATTAGAAAAATCCCTTAAAACTTGAATTGATAGAATCTGTAGGCCTGGAGTTCTCACTTTGTGTGCCACCGGCCAGGGAACTGTAGCATATTCTTGACTCTTTTACTGCCTGGCTCCAAACACCTTCCAGTGATTTTAATTTTTTCCATTTGTAAATTGGGTACCACATTGACTACTCAAAATGGGCTTTGGAATATAAGTCATATTTTATGAAACAAATTTCTTTCTTTAAAATACAGATAACAACCTAATATCAATAGCCCAAAGTTGGCATCAGGTGGAATATCCCTCTAGATACAATATCTACATAGATGCAAATGGAGTCAGTGTTCATTTTTTTCTTCCGCACACACACCTTCACCCTCTCTCTTTTCCATCCTAGAGACTCAGTCGCCTCAGAGAATTATCAATGGGCCCTGACCTTTTCCAAGCTATACATAATTTGGTACATCCTCCAAACTGGAAATGGAAAAAATATATACCAGATCATCTTTTGCCAGAGCAGGATACAGTTCCCTGATAATAGACCTATCTGATGTGACATGAATACTCCACTTGATCTCACCAGGTGAAGAAAAGTAGAAAGAATTCCCTGTAAGTTAATTCCACTACTCCCTTAATTATTTGTATTGTTCTCCTGCTTGGCTCCACATTTTGAGCTGGAGGATTCTGGGAAGAAAAGTCCCTCCACAACCCTCCCATGCCGCTTACTATGGAATGACACCTTCATCCTCAGTGT